ACGCTTTGAGTGTGGGCTTTATCCTTGTGATGTAAGGATCTTCATTTGTCTCCAGCAGGAGGAACTCAGTGCGTCAGGAGGACGGCATGGTCCCCTCCGGGAGCCACAGTGGGTGCCCATAGCGATTTGGCGGGTGCGGCAGCACTGCCCGAAGGAGCTGTCCCGTTTCTGCCCCCATGTCTTCGTCCTCCCTCCCTCCCCCCGCCACCCTCCTCCCCCGTCTCTGTTCAGAGATGCTCTTCTCTTGGCTGACACGCTGGGTTGGACACAGAATGGCGTCTGCTTTTCCTCCCTGTGCCTGGGGAGCACCTGTCGCAGGTCGGAGGTCTGTCTCTTCGTCCTCCTCCTCCGCCGCCGTCGCTTGTGCCACGTTTAGAAAGGCCTGCCCACCAGAGTGGCACGTGTTTCCATGTCTCCAGGTTCATGACTTTTCACATGGACGCACCTGCTCCATCCGCTCTTCATCCCAGTGCAGGACACGGCGGGGGAACCCTATTTGCTTTTCTCGACGACCACGAGTCGTCCCCAGCATCGCCTACGGATCTGCCTGCGGGGCAGGGTCTCGGAGTTTGCAGGGCGGGGTGAGCAGTGTGAGCCAGGTTGGTGGAGACTCAGATTTCCTGCCGCCTCTGAGGGGGGAGGGGGGGAGGGCTCAGCAAGGAAACAGGGGCCTCGGCCAGCACTTCTGTCTGAGAGAAAGCTGCTCCCCACCCCCAGCCCTCACCCTGATCCAGATCATTCAGTTCCTCCTCCTATGTTCCTGGCACATTTGAGCTACTACCATCGCACTGGAGCTCAGAGGGTCTGAGTCTGAGTAAGTCGACGCGCTGGCCCTTTAAAAGGAACTGCCTGGGACTCCAGCAGCCTCTGTCTCCCTTAGCCTCAATCCTGCTGGTTTTTACAGCCCAAGTTATAAGGGCTTCTTTTCTCAGCATTGGAACCCTGGGCTGAGGGGCCAGGTGTGGGGCTGGGCCCCTCGTTCCTCAGGGGGGACCTCCACCTCCGAGATGGCCCTCTGGGTTTCTATCTGCCCAGGTGGGTGTGGGACCCGCCCCTCCTGAGCCGCTGCGCCTCCTGCCAGGCTCGCCGTGCTGCTGCCTTATACCCTGAGAGGCAGGGCGTCGTTCTCCTAGAGTCAGGCGGTTCTGACTGCTGGTGGGTCTCTGGTTGTCATGTTGATGTGGTTGTGGGAGTGTTGTAGGCGGTGGGAACCCATAGGGTCAGCCCAGACCTGGGTTCAGTAACCTCCCTGCACTTGACTTCTGGCGAGGAAAGAATTCAGAGCCAAGACTCAAACAGTAAGAGAACATTTATTATCACGGAGGTAGAAGCCATTCCTAGAAGCAGTGGGCTTAGGAGACAAGTTCTAGAGGTAGAGGAAGGGCCCTCGGAGCTCGGGAGGAGGAAAGTAAAGGTAATGGGCCTGGGGGCAGGGGGCGGGAGGAAGGGAAAGGCGTGGACATGCTCCCAGGACGGGGAGGGCACTGGGTCCTCGTCCTGAGGGCTTTAAGGGGGAGGTGTTAGGGAGGCCCCAGGGGAAGATCTCAATAGAACGTTCCGCAGCTTTCCATGGCCTTTCAGGGCCGGGGTCCCCGCTGATTGATTGGCGGCACCAGGGCAGGGTCATTATTCCAGGCAGCTGGTCCTGGCGTCAGCTGTCAGCCGTGGCTGGTTCTATTGCTTTTCTGGGCCTGGAGCTGAAATACAGCTGAGGCCTAGCGTTATCTCTGGGAGGAAAGGTCAGGGGTCCAAACCGCATGAGCAGTGATGTATGAGGGGAGGAAGGCCACCCTGGGGACCGGGTCCCACCTACAAGTGTCGGTAGCTGGGCTCCCAGGGCTTGCCCCCCCTGGTGACCTTTTGGACCTGCCCATGGTCCCTGCTCTGCTCAGGACTGTCTGCCTGGCCCCCCCCACAGTGCTAAGGACTGGCTGTGGCCCCAAAGCAGGAGCCGTCGGGCAGGAGTGTCTGTCCGGGGCTCCGCTGCCTGCTGCGGGCACTGTTTGGGGGCCCTTGTGCATGGGCTGGGTGCTGCTCCAGTGGCCGGAAGCTGCCTCTGGGAGGGCTGGTTCTGAGGCCTCCTGGGAGGTGCAGGCCAAGGTCAGCTGCTGCCTGTGCCCAGCCCAGGGCCACCTGGTGTGAGCTACAGTGACCCGCAGATGGTCGCCACTGGTGCCGGGCCCGGAGGTGCCTGGGAGAGGCTGAGCTGGAACCGAGGCGGCTGCCCCGGGTGCCGGGCCCAGAGGTGCTGCTTGTTAGAGAGAATTTAGGAAAGTCTGAAGCATGAGCCCAAACAGGCCATTCGTGCGGTTGGGGGAGGAGGGAGTACTGCGTTCACGAGGCCTGCATCTGACCGGAAGCCACCTGGCCCCCTTCCAGCGGCTTGGGGTTCAGGAGCCCCCCAGGTGTCGTGGTT